AGAACGGCCTCAGCGAGGACCTGGCCTTTGTGGCTGGGCAGCTGTTGTCAAGCCTGCATGATGGGCCCCTGGCTCCCCAGTTCCATATGGCCCCTTGTGGGGATGTGCTCAGGGGGGCTTCACCGGAAGAGTCATGGCCGGGGCACCTTCCAGCACCTTCTGTGTCCACCCGAGGTGCCCCAGAGCTCTGGGGGTGAATGGGCACCTGGGGGGTCCTGCTGCACGGCACCCCCCTCATCTTCTTGGAAGCCTCCCAGGGATTCCTCTGTGTCTGACTCTGTGCCTTCTTCAGCGCATGATGCTGCAGAGGCAGCAAAGGAGCTTAGGTGAGGGGTGTCCAGCCCCTGTCGCTGGGGTGGGTTGTCCTCTAGAATGGAAGTGTGTCAGATGATCCTGATGGCTCTGCAACCTGTGATTCCCTCTGAAATCAGTTCCCCCAGGCCTGGCACCCAGCCTCTCTCCAGATAGGGTCCTCAAGACTCAGCACGTGTCTCTCAGGCTGTGCCTGCCGGGTGCCTGGCTCTGCCAATGTCCCCCACCGGCCCCACCACCTCGCCTCAGGTGGACTCTGACCTGGCTGTGGATGGGTCAACTTGTCAGGGAACAGGGACATGACCTGAGGCCAGGAACCCCTGGCTCTGTCCCTGTGGGGCTGCCCCCAGCAGGCTCCTCTCAAAGGGGCCTCGGCCTGCACTCCCCTTAAATCTCAGATGACCCCTACCCTACTCCTTCAGGGTTGAGGGAGGGGCTTGCCATCATTGGGAAAGACCCTCCCCCCCAACCTTAGGTCCGATGGCTGGGCCCTGAGAAGTAGACTAAGAGGAGGGAGGCTGAATGGAGACAAGTACTCAAAAGCCCTGACACGCTCGGACTGAGGTGGTGTCCTAAGGAGAGGAGAGAGCATTTGGAGCTAGAGGAGGAAAGAGGAACAGGACCTCAGAGAGCAAGGTGTGTATGGAAGGCTTGTGGGGCACCGGTGGTGCCGAGGGTCTGGGCTCAGTGGTGTTCAGGAGCACACTGCCCTTCTTGATTGGAAGCAAGGAGGCAGGGTTTTCTGAGTCTGCTTCTTTCTGGCTGCCAGCACCTTGAAATAATCTACCCTAACATGGGGCATTTGGAGGCCGACCTATCTGGGGCCCACAGCCAGCCCAGGCCATGTCGCAGCCTCAGCTGGTCTCCCTGTGGCCTCTGAAGCTGAGCTGGGAGCCTTGTGGGCTGGCCTGACCTACCCCCCGCACATCCCTGCCCTGGGAGCCTGTGTGGTTGCCATCAGGCCCCCCCCTGCACATCTGAAGAGCGGGGGCCATGGCTCCCCACCCGTAGCCTGTGCTGCGGCCCCGTCCAGGGTGTCCACACAAACTGCACAAGCCTTTTAGCATCTCTACAAGAAAGGGGGAAGGTTTACTTGGGTCCTCTTCAGGATGGATCCCGGGTCACTCGCCTGCCCCCAGAGAGAGCTCTCCAGAGAAGGAGCACCAGGCTCAGGGTCTTCTTGAGGAAGGAAGCTCTCAGGAAGGTAGATTAGCACCCAGGCAGGAATCGTGTGTCTTCCCGCGGAGAAATGCAGGCAGTAGGAGCACTGACAGGAACGTTAAGGACGAGATGGTCTTCCTTAGGCTACTCATCCCCACACGGGTGCCCAGTGCAAATGGGGGCGCCATCAGGCAGGCTCGGGGTGGATGGAGCATGGGTCCCATTGTGCTGACAGAGACTCTACAGTGGCTTCCCCTCTGTGTCAGGTCGCTAGGGTTTTCTCTGTGTCATCAGAACCAGGGTCAGTCCCCCAACAGCAGCGCCTCTTTCCAGGAGAGCAGTGACAGCTCGGCTCACCGGATGTTGTTTCCTACTCAAAGCACCTCTCCTGTGTGTGAAGCGCAGCTGGGGTCCCACTGTCAAGCCCCCAACACACCTGCACCCCTTGAGTCCCACCCTGGAGTCGGCCCTGTGGGCACCTGTGGGTCCCATACCAGTCTTGTGTGCCGAGGGAGGGGGCAGCTGGAGAAGGCTCCGTGCTGTCCCATTCCAGCTCACGACTTCAGGAAGGCAGGGCGACTACGACAGTGGGAGGGTTGGTGGCCTGGGTGTTAGGGCCGAGCGAGGGAGGAGCAGGTGAGCAGAGGGGCTCTTGTGTGGAAGGAAGGAATTGTGCAGGGACTGTGGTGGGGGAGCCCGGGGACAGCAGCCGGCAGAGCAGGGCTGACCAGGGCAGCACCTTGGACAGGGCCTGCGTGGGGGACGCGGGGCCGGGCTGCCTGGGCCAGGGCTCCAGGACAGGCCTGCAGGGGCGGTGAGCACCACGTCCGCCCTGCCCTTGACCTCAGCGGGATGTACTAGCACTGGCTCCTCGTGCCTACCCACCGGAGCACCCCGTGCTAGCTGTCAATCACAGCGAACCTGGGCACCTGGTCGGGCTCTGGGCCGTGTGGAAACTCCTTTCTGCTCTCTCACCTATGGCCCTGAACCTGTTCTGAAAGAGCACGGTCTTCTGGTTATAGGGTTACAGAAGCAGGGACGGGGAGGAGAAAGCAGCTCGGCAGGGAAGTCGCTGGCGCTGGATGGCGTCGTGGGTGACACAGGCTGATGGCCCTCCATGTGGGCAGTGAGTGACTTGTAGACCTTCAAGTCCTGTCCATCATCCTATGGTCTCATGTATCTTAAAGTCATGGACTACATGTACCTTTCTATCCTGAGTACCTGGCACTAAGGCTCTTAGTTCATTTTGCTTCCAGTTAATTGAGCTTTTGGATGTTTGTATTCATGTCTTTCATCAAATGTCAGAATTTGTCAGTCCTTATTTCTTCAAATAGTCTCTCTGCTTTTTTCTGCCTTTTTTTTTCTGGAACTCTCACAAATAGTATGCAGATCCACTTGATGGCATCACACAGGCTTATTCACTTTTTTAAAAAGATTTTATTTATTTATTCATGAGAGAGATAGATAGATAGAGAGAGAGGGAGGCACAGAAACAGGCAGAGGGAGAAACAGGCTCCACACAGGGAGCCCGACATGGGACTCGATCCCGGGTCTCCAGGATCAGGCCCTGGGCTGAAGGCGGCTCTAAACTGCTGATCCACTCAGGCTGCCTGACTTATTCACTTTTATTCAATCTTTTTTCTTTCTGTTCCTCAGATTTGGACATTTCAATTTTCCCGTTTTCTAGTTCATTGACTCTTCTCAAGGAATCATTGCTAAAATCTCCTTTGAATCTCTCTAGTGGAATTTTATTTCAGCTAGTATAGTTTCATCTCCCAAATTTCTTCTTAGTTTCTTTTTAGATTTTCTATTTCTGTATTGATATTTGTATTTTGTTCATACATCATTTTCTTGAATTTCTGCCTATGGTTCTTTTTTTTCAGGGAAATACAAATAAAAACCACCATGAGATACCACCTCACACCAGTGAGAATGGGGAAAATCAATAAGGCAGGAAACCACAAATGTTGGAGAGGATGCGGAGAAAAGGGAACCCTCTTGCACTGTTGGTGGGAATGTGAACTGGTGCAGCCACTCTGGAAAACTGTGTGGAGGTTCCTCAAAGAGTTAAAAATAGACCTGCCCTACGACCCAGCAATTGCACTGCTGGGGATTTACCCCAAAGATACAGATGCAATGAAATGGGGGGACACCGCAATCCCAATGTTTATAGCAGCAGTGTCCACAATAGCCAAACTGTGGAAGGAGCCTCGGTGTCCATAGAAAGATGAATGGATAAAGAAGATGTGGTCTAAATAATACTTGTATCCATGAAAGGTCCCCTTTTCCCACCTTACACTAAAGAAAGAGCCTATAGTTATAATTTATGGACAGATTGATTGTTATCTTTTCTTGACTTAGTGAGATCTGGGGTTACCACAGAAATGGTTCAGTATATCACAGCTCCCATGGAGTTAGTCAGTCACAGATATGCATGAGATTCTATTCATTGGATCAGAATCAAAATGATACTTTGATCCACTTGAGCCATTAAGTGCTCCCTATTATATAATATGCCCAGGCCTGCAGAATGAAGCAGACCCTTTTTATTGTGAATAATGAGGACATATTTTTCTTTCTATTGTTTTATTTCTTTGTATTCAGTGTGAGGAAGATAAAAGGCTTAGTAAAAGTAATAAAATCAGTACAATCACTAACTTTTCTATGTATATACTATTTTGCAATATAGGTGAATATTACTAATTGATTTGATTCTTCTCAGAGGGTGCTGCTCTTTAATGAAAATGATAGCTAATGGTTTTTTTCTCCACTCTGCTTTCTATAACCAGTGTTTTAATATTTGTGTGTTCTTTATAAAATTTGGAAGTAATTCATTATTGAATTCTGTTTCCAGAATTGGTATGTATGTAAACATGGTAGTACAGCCATTTTTTTCATACGTGAGTATAAATAAAATAGTATTTTTTAAAGTATATATAAAAAAAGAAGATGTGGTCTATGTATACAATGGAATGTTCCTCAGCCATTAGAAATGACAAATACCCACCATTTGCTTCGACGTGGATGGACCTGGAGGGTATGATGCTGAGTGAAATAAGTCAATCGGAGAAGGACAAGCATTATATGGTCTCATTCATTCGGGGAATAAAAAAATAGTGAAAGGGAATAAAGGGGAAAGGAGAGAAAATGAGTGGGAAATTCAGAAAGGGAGACAGAACATGAGAGACTCTTAACTCTGGGGAACGATCAAGCGGTGGTGGAAAGGGAGGAGGGCAGGGGGTGGGGGTGAATGGGAGATGGGCACTGAGGGGGGTACTTGATGGGATGAGCACTGGGTGTTATTCTGTATGTTGGCAAATTGAACACCAATAAAAAATAAATTAATTATTAAAAAAAAGGAAAGGGAGGTGGGTGGGGGGTGGGGGTGACTGGATGACGGGCACTGAGGGGGGCACTTGACGGGATGAGCACTGGGTGTTATTCTGTATGTTGGAGAATTGAACTCCATTAAAAAATAAATTAAAAAAAGATTATTTCTGGGAGACGTCGCAGACCCGGGACCCAGAGCAGCTCGGAGGCGGTGAATAATAGCTCTTCAACTCTGCAATAAAAAATGGCCTCCAATAAAACTACATTGCAAAAAAATGGGAAAGAAACAGAATGGAAAGAGCAAAAAAGTAGAAGAGGTGGAGCCTGAAGAATTTGTGGTGGAAAAAGTACTGGACCGCCGTGTAGTGAATGGGAAGGTGGAGTATTTCCTGAAGTGGAAGGGATTTACAGATGCTGACAATACTTGGGAACCTGAAGAAAATTTAGATTGTCCAGAGTTAATTGAAGCATTTCTTAATTCTCAAAAAGCTGGTAAAGAAAAAGATGGTACAAAAAGAAAATCTTTATCTGACAGCGAATCTGATGATAGCAAATCAAAGAAGAAAAGAGATGCTATGAGAAGCAGAGAGGTTGACTACAAATTTGGTTCTGGATGCTTTAGCAGCCAAAGCGAAAAGGCTGACAAACCAAGAGGCTTTGCCAGAGGTCTTGATCCTGAACGAATAATTGGTGCCACAGACAGCAGTGGAGAATTAATGTTTCTCATGAAATGGAAAGATTCAGATGAGGCAGACTTGGTGCTGGCAAAAGAGGCAAATAGGAAGTGTCCTCAGATCGTAATTGCATTTTATGAAGAGAGACTAACTTGGCATTCTTGTCCAGAAGATGAAGCTCAATAATTGTTTGCGTTGCTTTTTATATAAAATCTGGGTCTTTGTTTTTTGGTTTATTAGTGTGAAGAAATAACATTCTAATGAAAATCAAGTTTGATATGTTTGTTTTGAAGTAGTATTGGGGGAGTTGTTGGGGTTTTTTGCATCTATAGCACTGGTTACTTTGAACAAATAAAAGCTTTCTGTAGTTGTTTCCTTTATCAGAAAAGAATATTTGAGACCATGGCATATTATCCCCCTGCATCAGAGAACACCTTTTCTAAATGTTGGGGGAAATCTTCATAGTTGTTACTCAGTCAGAATTTGTGTTTAACTCCTATATGCCTAAGGACCATTCTGGGTTTTTTGTTTATTTAGGGCTTTTTGTGTGTATACTTAAAAGCACATACATAAGTGGTTTCTTTTCCTTTTGTTATCTTTGAAACATTCACCAAAACAAAAACAGCATTTTATAACCATGGACAAGGCCATGTTTCTGGGATGCTATCATTTTCAGCAACTTAAGAAATAAATCACTTAAAGTTACATTGAAATTTTTCCTGAAGCCTTAACCTTTCAAATTTTGTAATTAATTGGACAATTTAAATATAATATAGAGAATTCAAATTGGACAATTTAAAAGCAGCCATATCAGAATCCATATCCCTAGTTACAGTCACATAAATGCAAGTTTATTTGCAAGATCCTTGAAAGGAAAATTTTAATCACCACCAACAACCTCCCCACCCAGAGGGCAAAACTAGACAAGTTGTGGTGTACTTTAATTAGGTAAGCAAAACTTAGTTAAATGGATATTTAAAGGTTCCTTCCAGTGAACCATTCCTTTTCAAGAAGTTGAAAACCCTTGTGCTGTATTGACTAAAAGGTCATGATTCATGGAGCGTCTAAGACTTCGTTCATGGGAACCTGATCATAACCAGGTGGTTAGAAATGTTTGCAATTTAGCACCTGCTGGAATAAATGGGTGGACAGACTTCTATAATCTGAATTTTTGACCTGCATGTTTTTTCTTCACCCCAACTCATTCCTAACATGTAGGCTCAATCTTCTCAGTATTTGAACTACTGGTTCAGCAGAAACCAGGAAAAACGATAACTTTGTAGTCAGAATGTTATCCAACTGTATATTGTTTACTTTATTGTAAATACTGGTAAACAGTGGTCAATAAATAGTTTTATATTCCTTAAAAAATAAAAAAGATTATTTCTGTATTGATATTTGTGTTTTGTTCATGCATCATTTTCTTGAATTTCTGCCTATAGTTCTTTGAACATCTTTAAGGTGATTGTTTTAAATCTTTGGTAGATTTGCCATCATTTCTTTTTTGGGAATGGTTCTCCGTGTGGGCAGCTTGAGTATTGTGTTGAGTTGTCAAATACCGGGAACACAGGAAACAATTCTGAAGTGCACTCGGCCAAGTTTGACCCAGTTCTCTCCAAGGGTCAGGGGCTGTACCAGCATGACCCAGTACCTTCCAGGATTCAGGGGCTGTGCCCAGTATGACACAATACCTCCAGGGATCAGGGACTGCCCAGCATGGCCCAGTACCTTCTGGAATTCAGGGGCTATGCCCAGTGTGACCCAACACCTCCAGGAGTCAGGGCATGTGCTCTGCAAGACACAATACCTCCAGAGGTCAGAGACTGTGCCCTGTGTGACCAGCACCCTGCAGGGTCAGGGGCTCTGGACAGCACTGGGCCCATGTGGCTTGAAAAGACCCAGGAGTTCCCTGAACCTCCTCTTGGCCAAGCCCTTCTGGCTGCGTGTGCAAGCGTCCTGGGGCTGCTGTGACAAGAGCCACAGATGGACTTGAGCAGTAGAAATTTCCCTTCCCAGCTCTGGAGGCCAAATGTCTCAGGTCCAGGGTGGGGAGGCAGGACAGCCCTCCCCCCACAGGCTTCATGGAGGGTCCTTCCTGCCTCTTCCAGCCTCTGTGGGCCCCACACGCTCCCGGGTTGTGGCCATGTCCCTCCGGCCTCTGCCTCTGTCTTCATGAGGCTTCTCCTCTGCATTTGTGTCTCTCCTTGTGTGCATCTTGTAGGACACCTACCAATGGGTGTAAGCCTGGAGCTTCTCATCTTAAGCTCGTTGACTTGAATCAGATCTGCAAAGACCCCTTTTCCAAACAAGGTCACATCCACAGGTGCATTGGGGGTGGACATAGCCCCCAGGCGCCAGCATTCAGCCCACTGTGCTGGGTTCATAAGAGAAGGAGAGAGAGAGGGACAGAGGGACCTGACATGCTGGCCTCTCATTGGGGGTGGACATAGCCTCCAGGCACCAGCATTCAGCCCGCTGTGCTGGGTTCCTAAGAGAGGGAGAGAGAGAGGGACAGAGTGACCTGACATGGTGGCCTCTTGGTGCCTGAGGGCATGTGAATTTAGCATCCCTGGTACTGTCCCCCACGCCCTGCTCTCAGGCTGTGCTCCCTGCGTGACAGGCCTCTGCTGGCCCTGCCCAACGGCGACCGGCACACCTCCTCCCAGGCTCGGGCCAGATGCATTCTTCCCCTGTGCAGGGGTCTCTGGTGCTCGGGGCCTGAGTGAGCCAAGCCCTGGTTGTCCTCGAGCTGGGGTCCACAAGGCAGGTCTCCTGAACTGGGGCACCAGTCAGACAAGGAAGATGCTCAGTGCTGCCCTGAGGTATCCCCAGTCCAGGGGATGGGAGGAAGGCCCCCAGGCCTGGACCTCTGAGAACCTGGCAGGTGGGGGTGGTTGTGGTACAAAATGAATAAAGTCTTTTGTGATATTATTTTATTATCTATCATCTATCTATCTATCCACCCATCTATCATCAATGTATCTCTGCAAGACCTCTATAGCTGTTGGAGCCTGGTGTGGATTGTGCCATGGATCTATGTTTCGTGGTTGCCCAGAACAGGGGTGGGGACCATGGAGTGGCTTTCTGGAGGTGCCCATGCATCCGATTCTGGGCTGTTGGAGCAGATGCAGGTAGCAGGCACAGGACACTGAGGTCCAGACTGCTCTGCTCTGGCCTTCACAGCTGTCCTGCCTGCAGAGTCCCACCCAGTGCTGCTTCTGGACAACAGTGACCTGGGACAGACAGCAAATGGGCAGCTTCTCAGCTGTGCATGTGTGTGTCTGTGGCGGGGGGCAGTGCCTCTGTGTGCACGTGTGTCTCCATGTGCATGTGAGTACTTGGGAGCCAGAGTATGCCTGTGTGTGCATGCATGGGCAGGTGCATGTGTGTGCATGGTGGTCTGTGTCTGCATGTGTGTATACTCTCTCCCTTACCTCTTATCATTTCCTCCTGTTTCCTGGACTCTGGGTCACAATTTCTTACCTCTCCTCAATCTCCTCCTAGTTCTGAACTCAGGGTATCTATCTCTTATCTCATATGTGTCTCTTGCTGGTTCAGTGACCCTAGGTTCCTATCTCTTACCTTACATCAGTGTCCTCCTGCTTTGTAATTCTCATGTCTCTTCTTGGTTTGGTGACTCTGGGTCTATCACTTACCTCTAAATTGTCCTCCTGGTCATTTGACTCTGGGTCTCTTTCTCTTACCTTCATCAATCTCCTCCTGCCTCTGTGACTCTGGGTCTCTAACTCTTACCGCTCATGTACTTCTTGCCTTTTTGTGGCCCTGGGTCTCTATCTCTTACTTCTGGTCTATCTCCCGCTGGTTGTTTTACCCGAGTCTCTATCTCTTACCTCTCATCAAACTCTTCCTGGTTCTGTGACCCTTGGTCTCTATCTCTTATTTCTCTTATGTCTCTTCCTCGTTCTGTGACTCCAGGCCTGTATCTCTTACCTCTCATCATTTCATCATGGCTCTGTAACATTGGGTCTGTCTCCTACCTCCATGAATCTTTTCCTGGTTCTGAACACTGGGTATCTATCTCTTACCTCTGATCTGTCTCTTGTTTGTTTTGTGACCCTGGATCTCTATCTCTTACCTCCATAATTTTCCTCCTGCTTATGTGACCCTGGGTCTCTTATCTCTTACCTCTCATCATTCTCTTCCTGGTTCTGTGACTCAGGATCTCTATTTCTTATGTCCCATCATTCTCCTCATGGTTCTGTGACTTGGGTCTTTATCTCTTATCTCCCAAAGTTCTCTCTTGGTTTTGTGACTTATGGTCTTTATGTCTTAACTGTCGTCATTCACTTCCTGGTTTTATTTTTTAAAAAAATTTTAATATTTTGTTTACTTTTTAAAGATTTATATTTATTTATTCATGAGAGACACAGCAAGAGAGAAAGAGAGGGAGACAGAGACAGAAACAGAGACATAGGCTGAGGGAGAAGTAGGCTCCCTGCAAGGAGCCCAGTGTGGGACTCGATCCCGGTTTCCGGGATCTCACCCTGGGACAAAGGCAGATGCTCATTGCTGAGCCACCCAGGCATCCCTTTTTTAATGTTTTGATTTAAATTCAGTTTAATTAACATATAGTGTTTTATTAGTTTCAGGGGTAGAATTTAACGATTCATCAATTGCATATAACACTCATTGCTCATTCCATCAAGTGCCTCCCCTTAATACCCATCACTCAGTTACCCTGTCCCCCAACCCACCTCCCCTCCAGCAACCCTCAGTTTATTTCCTATAGTTAAGTGCCTCTTATGGTTTTGATTAGGACTAAGTTAAGCCTTTATGTGAATTTGGTAAGAAATGCAATCTCTAAAACATTTTATTTTCTCATTCAGCAGTATGGTATGTAGCTCCTTGTATTCAAATATTCTCTCTAAATAAGTGGAAAATATCAGTGAGGGAGACAGAACATGAGAGACTCCTAACTCTGGGAAACAAACAAGGGGTGATGGAAGGGGAGGTGGGCGGGGGGTGGGGGTGACTGTGTGACGGTTCTGAGGGGGGAGCCTGATGGACGAGCACTGGGTGGTATGCTGTATGTTGGCATATTGAACTCCAAAAAAAAATATACAACCCCCCCCAAATATTCTCTCTTGTTCAGTCTTATTCATAGAAATTATGCATTTTCACTTTAGAACTATGCTTTTTTGGGTTTTATGATATTTGATACTATTATTGATTTGATTCTGGGT